AGAGCCAAGGAGCCAGAATCAAGGAAAAAGGAATCCCTGTTGTGGGAGGGTCGCTAGGCCTCTAGGGGGTCTTTCACTCCCAAGTTAGACTTTACAGGTAGAGAGTTACATACATGAACTGTCAGCAAGGGCACTGTAAACTGTCAATACAGCCCTAACTCTCACCCACAAAGCATCAAGTGTGGGTGACCTGCAACTGAATCACCTGAGTGCTCCATAAATGAGTATTAACATAAGTCTGATGCAGTGAACTTGGATCTCACTGATTCCTGTGTCTGAAGCTCAATTTCAAACTCCAGTTGAGATGCAGGCAGAATGCAAAGACTGCCACCTGTAGAAGTTTTGTACCATGGAAGAGGTCAGGAATGGCAGCCTGGCTTGCCTCAAAAGAAGGCAGAGCGCACATATAGGCTCTACTTTGCAGGACACAAGTTGAATCCATGTAAGCAGAAAAAAGAAAACCAAAAGAAATGATATGTTGTCTGGGACATGCTTCACAATAACTCAGTGTGGCGAATAGGACAGAGATGAAACAAGATTGGGCCATGACTCATTAGTTGTTTAAACTGTGTGATGGATACAAGGAGGCTCATTAAAAGTTTTTTCTGTACTTTTGTAGATTTCAAATTGTCCATAAGGAAAAAAAGCTGCGAGAAAAATCAGGAGAGAACCCTAGAGAAAAATAGAAATGTCCTCCACTTCAGGAAGAGGGTTTTATGCCTATCATCCAATTACTTTAACAATACTTCACACAGTTACCTATCTGTTTTCACTTAACTGACTGAACATTTTTTTTCCCCTAGGAAAGAAACACTTGGCATTGATAATGTTGACTCGGTCTTTGTTGATTGAGGATACCCACCTCCTAGTCAGTTTTTTTTTTTCTTTTAATCTAGCTGCTTGTAGATGCCAATAACCTCTTTTTCATCTTGCCCTAGGCTCAATTATGTCACCCTTATTATGACAGGGAAATCACCTGTCATCAAGTGTGGCTATCACTCTGGGTTGCCATCCTACTCCCTTGCCTAAATATCACAGATAAGAGAGGTGGTGTCCTGTCCGCACTTTCTGGAAAGTGTAAATGGAGTGCTAAACTCAGGACAAAACAACAGGAAGTGCTGAAAGACAGCCTCTGGCCTTCCCTGGGGCCATAAAGCCTACCTCCCACGGAATAGGTACCTTTGGGGGGGGGGTGTCACAGTGGAAAATTTATCATTTGACTTCTTCATCCTTGAGTGACTCAGTTCAATCTTTCTAAATAGCCCAATTAATTCATTTTGGGCAGCAAATATTTACTGAGCACAAATGGTGCAGAAGCTGAATATGCCTCCATCAACAATGCTCCTGTCCTCTGGGAGCTGACATTCTAATGAATGAGCCACCACATAATACATGCTTTCCACTGGTGACAGGGTAAGTGTCTATTGGAGAGAAAAATACAGGCTACTTTGTTTTACAACAGGTGGCTTAAAAGAAGTTAGAGATGCTTTTCCCAAGAAAATGTCATTTTTCCAACTGTACTGCTGACTCCCACAATTACACGATTTTTAAAAAAATCTGCCATGAAATTAAGACATTTAACATTTTCATTTTTTAAGGCTCCCTATATGTTGGGGCACTAATATGGAAACCTTAATCAGTTACTCATACCAACTTATACTCATCTAAAAAACAATTTTGGTAAACATAGAATTTCACAAGTCACCTCTGGAAGAAAGGGTCATTTTTCTTCTAAGTTTAATTGAAAAAAGTAAAAATGTATTATCCATTTTTTCCTACCCAGGTCAACTCTGCTATCAACTAATATTACAAATTACAGAAAACAAAAGGCAATAAAAACATGAGGATGCAAAGGAAAAATAGGCCAACCTCTGAGAGATAACTGAAATTTTATCCTAACATTTGCCTACCTGTGCTAATTGGAAGAAAAGGGATGATATATTAGGTAAACCACAAATAATCTCACTTCCATTTAAATCAATAGTTCTAAGTTCTCCTGCAGCATTAGCCCTTAGGCAGTCTTGCCACGAGGGAACTGGCCAAACTAAGCTACAAGAGGAAAAAGAAAAGGACAGAAATCCTGGCTCAGCAGTTTTAAATTTTGGAGTTATGAAGGATCCTCGAGAATTCAAGAGAAGCTGTGGACACCTGCCCTAGAAAGTAGACATACATATTTCTGCTTAGAATTTCAGGGCAACTATAACAGCCCTGAAGCCCATTCAAGACCCAGACTAAAACCCCTTGACCCAGATAAATAGTGAAATCGGAAATCAAGTCTAAGATTATCAGCAGTTTAAAGGGTTGAAAGAATTAGTATGCACTGAGTCATTTTCCATACGTTATCTAATGTAAGGTCCACTCTGACAACCTTGAGAAGTAGGTACTATCATCTTTTTTTTACAAAGAGGAAAGTTAGATTCTGACAGGTTAAATAACAAATGCCAAAGTTAAGCAATCTGCTGTCACATACAGGTTTTTAACTCCTAGGTCCACAATCACGAACTGGATGAGAACTCAAGAAGTATGGTTCACTGTCCTAAGCATTTTCCAAGATGGGAAGTTTCTGATTTTTAGTGCTTCAACCATATGATCAACTTATCTACATTTCTTCTCCATTTAATCTCCCTGCCAAGCAGAATTAGTACAGATTTAGCTCCATACACCTCTTCTTGTAAGGAGATAATCTCAACCAGAGACAAAAGACAACTGTCTAACAATTTTTGATAATTTTAAAATGTATTTTGGAGTGCCTGGGTGGCTCAGTCGGTTAAGTATCTGCCTTTGGCTCAGGTCATGATCCCAGAATCCTAGGATGGAGCCCTGCATTGGGCTCTCTGCTCAGGGGGAGAAGCCCACTTCTTCTCCCTTCTCCTTTCTCTCTCTCTCTCTCTCTCTCTCTCTCTCTCTGTGTGTCTCACTCAAATAAAATATTTAAAAATTAAAAGGTAAAAATAAAATGTATTTTCATTTCTTAAAAAGTCTAACATGAGCTGCTTGTTAGACAAAGCCCACTGCGTGGGTGCTGAACATTCTCATGCCTGAATTTTAAAACTGGCTCAGAAAATCATAAAGTCACAAATGAATTAAAAACTGAATTAAAAACTTCAGTCTCAAAACACCAAGGTAGAATTTCGGCCATCCTGTCCCATTCAGCGTCCTCTGAATAGTTAGAAGAGCTTTTAAAACACAGCACCTTTAATAATCACTCATCATTTGACAGGTCAGATGCACACACAACCAACTCTATGACCCCATTTTGCCTCAAGAAGATAGTCAAGAGGTCTTAGACCCTCATGGTAAAACCTGCTGAAAATAACATATATGGCCAAAACTGGGTTCAGGCCACTAAATTTGGTTGGGTCTCACGCCAGACCAAGTTGCCCAGTGAAACACGAATGTACTTACTCATCCTCTAGTGGGGAATTACCAATAATTAGCACGCTGTTTTCACACAGATTTAGAAACCCTTTATGGGAAATGTATCCACACCCAAAAGAATAAAAACTAAGAACAGGAGTGGGTCAGGTCCTCTAATGCTCTACTCCAACTGCTTCCTATGAGAGTTGCCACCTAGTGATTTTAATTTTTTAAGCCCAGGCGGACTGCCAACTCAACACTAAAACCGGACTAACAACTGATTTTTCCTATTGCAACATCGCCAGCAAGTCCTTTGCTTTCCCTCTCTTTCCTTTGCAAACACCTATTCTCATTTTCAAAATCAACTAATTTGCTCTATAATCTGTTCCAATTGGAAGCTCTCACAGAGCTGCCACTGGTATTACTCTTCCTCCCAGTGCCAAGAGGCCAACAAGAGGCCAGTTCAAAACACCAAAACAGCAAACGTGAAAAAAAAAAGAGAGGCCCTAAAAACAAGAAGTAAATATGGAGACAGTAACAAAGGGCCAACTCTGGACTTTAAAACATTCAGCTCGCCAAAAATTCTACCTATTCTTGGGTGCTGGACAGTAACTGCCAAAGTAGATGGCTACACATGAGGAATGAAATTGCATTGGGGAATAGAAACTCAGTATTTTGGATACCAAATCTCATGTAAGGCCTTGTCCTTACTGCCACTGAAAGAGCAACTTAAACTGAACCTAAAATCGATTGGCCTCCAGAAATCCTTTGTGACCACAGTGTGCCCAGGCCTGGCACAGGCATTAGACAGCAAAGTTGACTATTCAGGGAAAAATAAAATCGGGAAGGGGGGGGGTGGGTGAGGGGGGAGGAAGTTGGACGGTTCCTAGATACCTGACCTCTCATTTGGAGACACACCTTCAGCTACAAATATTTTCCTAAGCATCCTTCCCTAAGTGTCAGACAGTTTTATTAAAAACTGACCAATAATTAAGACATAGGGTTTCACTAACTATGGACACCAAAGGCTCGTTTCGCCATATAGAATTCTGGACTTTTTCCTGCCCTCATCTTGGCTGCTCACACATACATGAAGTCTGACCAACTCCTCAGTTGTGATGATCCTTCTGTGGCACCCTAAACTTTGTAGCTTAAATCCCATAGAAATAAGGCTGCACAGATAACGTGTTATCTTTTCTAAGGTTTGCAACCAGTTTTGATTGCCAGCAGACAACAACTGGTGGAAAGATTTCCTTTCCAGAGACCCCGAAAGCATTCGTGGCCACGCTTTCCAAAGCTTGAGAATTACTTTCTCCACTTGTGTTTCTCAGGAAGAGGGTCAGACCAGAAGGGATTTGGGTTAAACTCACCGCCCGTCCCCAAAGCTTATCACTGAGCAATGCGGCTCAGGCTGCACCACGCCAGGCCTCGACAGAAGGGTTCCGGGACGCTCCCCACTACAGGAAGCCCTGGAAACCAGATTTTCCAAGCGTTCCGCTCTCCCCCTTCTTCCTCCTCGGACAGCAGCATCCTCGCGAGGGTGCGGAACGGCTAAGGTGGGACAAGAATCCCGCACCCTGGCGAGGCCGGCAAGTAAAGTTCCTCAAGGTTTTGCAGGAACTCCAATGGGGGGCTGGACTCACCTTCGCGACAGAGCCCCATGACTTCGCGGTTTTTCCCAAACTCCTTGAAACTTTCGTCCAGTTCCGTGCCTAGGAGACACACACACACAGGAGGAGGGAGAGGCAGGTCAGTGGCCGGTGGGTGACGCGGCTCGCGCACGCACGGAGTAGGTGCGGGCACCTCCGCGCACCCCAACCGAGCGGCAGCATCTCTGACCCCCGAGGGGGAGGGGCAGGGTCGCAGGATGGGGGACTCGGGGGAGCTGGGGAAGGGGAGCGCGTGGACACTCACCGTCCTTCCCGGGAAGTTTGGAAGCCTCGACCCACAGGTTCCACGACTGTCCCAGCATCGCTTCTGGGCTGGGCAGGGGCCTGCGCTCCCCGACGGTCGCCATTGCGGCGGCGGCCGAGGTGGAGGCGGCGCCGGGGCCGCCGTCCTCCGGCCGGAGGCGCCGCGGCGGCGGCGGCTGCCGCTGGGGCTGCGAAGGCGGCGGCGGCGGCGGCGGCGGCTGCTGCTGCTGCTGCTGCTGCTGCCGGGCGGCCGCCGCCGCTGCTCCGCCCGCTGCCGCCGCCGCTCGGCGCGGCTCCCCCCTGACGTCATCCGCGGCCCGCTCCGACATTCTTTCCGCTCCTACAATGTAACAAAAAAGGGGGAAAAGAGTCGCGCGGGGGCCGCTTTTAAGGAGGCGCCGGGGAGTTCCGGCGGCGTGCGCGGCCCGCAGGCCGGGTGGGGCGCGCTGACAGCGCCCCCCGGCCGCCCGGCCCTCCCGGCCCTCCCGGCCCTCCCAGCCCGCCTCCTCCGGGCCACCCCCCGCCCCGGGCGCAAAGTCCGCCGCGGCCCGGCTCGCTTTCGCTTTCGACTCCCGCGGCCCCTCGGGGGAGGGGAGGGGAGGGGAGGGGACGGGCCGCCGGCCGCCCGCCCGCCACCGCGGCGCAGGGCCCCCCGCCCGCCGCCGAGAGCCGCACGCAGGCCGGCGCCCCGAGCTGCCCCCGCCACGGCTGCCCGCGGCGGCAAGGCCGCAGACGCCCCCCGGCCCCCGGGCTGCCCACCCCGAGGCCGCTCGCATCCCCAGGCCGGGCCGGCGGCCCCGCTCCTTCCTTCCGTCCGCGCGTCCGTCCGAGCGGCGGCGCCCGGCCGGCTCCCTTAAGCAGAGGCGCCTCCCGCCGCCTCCTCCCCCCGCCGGTCCCTCCCTCTCTGCTCGCTCCGGCGAAGTTTGCACGTCAAGCCCCCGGAGCGGAGCCAGGGCCAAGTCGGAAACGCAGCCACAGTCCAGTCGCCGTCGGGCCCTCCCGCCCCGGGGTTCGGGTTCGGGTTCGGGTTCGGGCCGGGGCCGCCGGGGCCGCCGGGGCCACCGGGGCCACCGGGGCCGCAGGGGCCGCAGGGGCCGGGGCAGGGAGCGCTCGGCGCTTGGCGCTCGGCGCTCGGCTCCCCGCTCCCCGCTCCCCGCTCCCCGCTCGCGGGCGGCCGCGCAGCTGTCAAGAGCATGAATGGCAAAGCCGCCGCCTAACGTAGGAAACCACGGGCCGGCGAGGAAATGCGGCCCAGGTGCCGGCCCAGGTGTCAGCCCGAAGCCTGGTGTTCGCCCGAGGCCCACCACTAGAGGTCACAGCGTGCGCCCTCGGAACTTGAACTTCTCGTCCAGCAAAGACACCATGAAATCAGTGTAAGATGGAGAGGCGGAGGCGAATTTTGGAGACACGACCCGAAATTTCTCTAGTTGCCCTTCCACTGCTTCTAGAAGTGATTTGTTCGCCCCGGAAAACAGCAACAACAATCCTGACATTTTAAAATCGGACTCTCTTTTCTTTTCTTTTTTTTTTTTTTTTTTTAGATCGGACTCCTTTTTAATTCGAGTTCTTAGTCCCTCCCCCTTTATGGTTACCTTTGCTTGGGCAGGGCGCGAACCCAGGGCTTGGGGAATATACAGCATTCCTAGAAAATGTGTTTATAAGATAGGGTTTTGTCACATTTTGTACTAAATTAAGCACTTGTCCACAAAATTTAGCCCCCCTTCCCAATACATACACACACACACAGGATGCAAAGCTTTTGCTTAAGTGATAGGTAAAGATAGCAAAATAACAGGCTACTTAATGAAATGAAGTATGTGAAGTACTTGAAACAGAGGCAGACCACACCAACCACCTTCAAGAAGTACCGTGTTGTTTCAAACTGACATGAGAATCTGAAGCCTGACACAGAAACAAGGATTTTTTTTTTTTAAGATTTTATTTATTTATTCATGACAGACACACAGAGAGGGAGAGAGAGAAGCAGAGACACAGGCGGAGGGAGAAGCAGGCTCCATGCAGGGAGCCCAACATGGGACTTGATCCTAGGTCTCCAGGATCCAGCCATGGGCTGAAGGCGGCGCTAAATCGCTGAGCCACCTGGGCTGCCCAGAAACAAGGATTTTAATCATGTTTCACATGGCAATAATATCAGCACTCTTGTGGCACATGTGTCATAATTGTTTGCTTACAGGTGCTTTCTCTAGGTGGAGAGGAAGAGGGTTTCATGTTTTTTATCTCGAACATCTGGCATGATAGAAGTGGCCAACTTCCCTGCTAAAGAAACAAAGTCCAACTTACAGAAACAAAATATTTAAGTCAAAGTAAAAATTAAGAAGGAAATGTTATTGCAACCTAAACTTAATGCAGGGCTCTCATAAGAAAGGGTTTAAGTTGAAATTTTATAAGATTTAAAAATACACACATACACACACACACACACACATTTATTTTTAAAAAGATTTAGAAATAACTGTGTAAAATTTTTCCTGGATTGCATGCAAATATAAATTCCAAAAAGTGAAATTATGCATACTTCCTGTCTTTAACTAAGTAGTAGTAAAAACAGGGGTGTCTTGAGTGTCCGACTCTTGATTTCCGCTCATGTCGTGGTCTCAAGGGTTCTGGGATCCAGCCCCGAGTGGGACTATGTGTTAAATGTGGAGTCAACTTGAGTTTCTTCCTCTCCCTCTGCCTGCAGTCACACACTCTTCTATCAATAAAAATAAAATCTTGGGCAGTCCTGGTGGCCCAGCGGTTTAGCGCTGCCTTCAGTCCAGAGCCTGATCCTGGAGACCTGGGATCGAGTCCCACGTTGGGCTCCCTGCATGGAGCCTGCTTCTCCCTCTGCCTGTGTCTCTGCCTCTCTCTCTGTGTGTCTGTCATGAATGGATATATAGAATCTTTAAAAATAAATAAATAAATAAATAAATAATAAAGTAAAATATTTTTAAAGCAATAAAAGCAAAGCAAACAAAAATGGTGGAGATTATTGAAAGGATAAAAAATCATTTCTAAGGCTTTGACTTCCTACATGAGTTGTCACTGAGAAAAACAAACGGGCAAAATACAGAAGTCCTTTGATATTAACAGGGCTCCTCTTTTTTTTTAAGATTTTATTTATTTATTCATGAGAGACAGAGAGAGAGAGAGAGAGAGGCAGGAAGCCCAATGTGGGACTTGATCCTGAGACTCCAGGATCATGCCCTGAGCCAAAGGCAGACGCTCAACCGTTAAGCCACCCAGGCGTCCCAAGGGTTTCTGACTCTTAATATAGGCCTCCAATATTGGAAAAGAAGTCCCCAGTACACTTTCAATTTTTCATTCATCTCAAATCACTAAAAAATTTGTAAAATTACATTAAAATGTCCAATTTCTCTGTTTTCCTAGATTAAAGTGCACAGTTTATTACTTTGAATTTTGTAATTCAATATTTAAGATAAATGAAAATTTGAATTTTAATGTCATTTGGAACTGCCATTACAAAAACAACAACTTAGAGCAACCCAGCTATATAGACACAAAAGGGAGCTTGCCTGTTGAGTACAGCCCTTCTGATCTCTGAGAGAACACTGTGAGAACGAAAATAAGGGGAAGAATGGCCAACACGAAGTACAGACTCACTTCCCCAAGACACTGCTTGATTTCCCTCTTTTTACATGTGAAAATCCTTCAAGATTCATTAATATAACCTCTAGCCAATGGGCGCAATATGGCACTTCATAATACTTCAACTTCTGTCTTTAGTGGTGCTCAATACTTTTTTTTTTTTTTTGAGTGGTTTAATAAAGAAAACACAACAGGGCGTTAAGTGTAAAATACTAAGTATCCTCTTAGCATTACAATAGTTATTAAGGAAACTATTACTAAAAAAAAAAGAGAGAGGAAACTGTTACTAATAACAACTATCAGTTATTGAGTACCTACTAGATGCCAAGCATTCCCAGAGGTACCTTATTGCATTATCTCAATTAGTATTCAAGATTGTATAAGGTAGAAGTTGTATTACTTGCAACTTACAAATAAGAACAGTGGGGATCCCTGGGTGGCTCAGCGGTTTAGCCCCTGCCTTTGGCCCAGGGCTTGATCCTGGAGTCCCGGGATTGATTCCCACATCGGGCTCCCTGCATGGGGCCTGCTTCTCCCTCTACCTGTGTCTCTGCCTCTCTCTCTGTATTTCATGAATAAATAAATAAAAAAACAAAACAAAACAAAAAAAAAAACAAATAAGAACAGTGAAGGAGGGCTCTGGAAGCTAGGTGCTATAAATTCTTTCTGGGTCCATATACTGGCTCTTCCACTTACAAGCTGTGTAACCAGAACAAATGACCTAACCTATCTGCACTTCAGTTTCCTAATATGTAAAATGGAAATAAAGCCAGGCTTCTTCTGAGGAAAAGATCCATAGAAAGCACTTGGTACAAAGCATAACACAAAATAAATATTATACATAAGTGTCCTATATCAAACTAAGCAATCCAGATCAATTCTTATCTGTGAAAATTTATTTAAATTTAAAGTTGAAGATGTGGGAACCAAAAGAATAACAGGCAACTCCTGGCATCTCCCCACCAATTCTATTTTGCTGCAGCCAATACATTTTACTACACTTTCTTCACCCATAAGTTAGTTCTAAATCCTTCCAGATTCTGATATCCATGGTTGGTCTGGGTTTCCCAATAGTTCAACTGAGTCCCCAACAAAACTCAAATCTGGTAAGCTGAGAACATACACTGTTCTGATATGCAAATTTGGGCAACATTTTCCAAGTACTCCTCATCAACAGGGCACAGTCTATTAAAAAAAGAGTACAGCAGAAACAAATATTTTCCCTACCAGGTCATAATAAAAAAACAAAACAAAAAAACAAACCTGAAGACTTCCTACCTAAATACCCCTCCTCTATATTCCAAAAACATAAAAAGAAAATTACCAATACGATTTGCATTCATTTCATATAATTATTTTAATGCAGTAGTGTCCCTTGTATGTTATCAATCAGTATTTCTGCCAGTGTACTGATGATGTCTTACAGCTCTGCAGATCTTCAGTATCCATCTGCACAGATAAATGATATGTTTCATAAGGTTTGAGTAATGAGGACACTTCCTGATTGCCTAACACATACCTGGCACTCTGATAGCACAAGGTAAACACAACATAGCAATTTTGCTGAAGACATGAGAGTAAGAAGTAGGGGGAAAAATTAATTCATCAGGATGCTCTTATGCAAAAGGCTGTCACCACCAATTAGACTGTATGTGGCTTAAGAACTAGGCCGTCAGAAGTGAAAGGCTGCCAAATTCTGAGCATTTCATCCCTTCCAGGGATGCATTTAAA